TGTGAGGATGAAAACATGGCTCCACTGGCAGCCATCCTGCCTTTGAGAAGGTGGATCCCTCAGAGGGAAAGCAGAACCGAGAAACAGAGGCAGACAGCAGGTCCCAGGGATATATTCCGAGTAGCTAGATGCAGCTAAGCCTGAAGGTAACTACCTTTTCGAATTACGCGAACCACTAAGTTCCTGGTTTGCATAAGTTGCTGTGAGTCCAGTTTTTCATCACCTGCAATCAAAAGAGTCTCAGTGTATCTTCCTAAATCCAAATTGTTCACAGGACTTCAGGTCTGGAAGTAAATATGGAGATGAAATCTAACTCTTACGCATAGGTACTAGAAACCCAGGAACTGAAGAGTGTGTGACTGTGGTATGATCACACCCTGAAGTTGTACCAGATCCAGTCTAAAACCCAGGTCTTTGCTCTCCCAAGGCTATGGTTTTTCTGCCACAAAAATGCTCTATTCAATCAAGGTGTTTTTCTTGCATGGCTGTTGTATTTCCCCAGCTAGAGCACAGACCCCGGATAGAGCAGGGGTGGGGGCTGTGTCCCAGGTTTCTCACCTGCCCCATAGCCTGGCCTGTGGCCACTATGCAATAGGCACTTGTTCGCCGATTACTGGGTTAAGAAGGCTTCTGGTTCTATGATATTTTTGAAAATTGTTTTCGTGTTTGCAAGGTGAAATGTGTTACTTTCACGGTTTTGACTCTGGGAAAGTACAGGAGTGCAGAATGTGGTTTCTTCAGCAGCTAAAATCATTCCCTGTAGATTTTGGTCTTTCTGTCTTAGTCAAGCAACAACTTCTATTAAGGAGCCATTACATGCAGACACTGGGGATTTGCCAAGCAATATGCTTGTCTCTGCTCTTTGGAATTTATTAACTAATGTGGAGGAGAAAGAAAAACTATAAACAAACATGACAAAATATTAATATTTTCACTTTTGTTTATGTAGAGGAAAATATCAGTCTAAAATCAATTATAATTTTTGAATTCCATTTATATTACACTAAATAAATAAAATATTATTAATTCTCCCTGCAGAAATAGATATTAGGCAAGTGATCAACTTGATTATTATATTTAGAAAATCAGTCTGTGTGTTTTTGTTATTTTGAATAATGTATGGCTACAAAATAATCTGAAACGCTGTGGTCTTGTTATCACGTGACATGAAATCTTTTCCAACATATTTCTAAATGAAAATTTTATTGAATACAAAATACACAGCATAATGTATTTGCTGTGAGAATCATGACAACTGATGAGGCTTTTTTTATTATTTTGTTTTTTGTTTTTTTGTTTTTAGATGTATTAGTTTCCCAGGAATGCTGTAACAAAGTACCACAAATCAAGTGTCTTAAAAACAACAGAAATGTACGTTTCACAGTTCTGGAAGCCAAGATCAAGGTGCCCTGCTCCCTCTGGAACCCACAGAGCAGAACCCCCCACTGCTGCCCCTCACCTCTTCCTGGTGTCTGATGATGGCCGTCAGTCCTTGGTGTCCTTGACTTGCAGCTAAATCACCCCAGTCTCCCCCTCGGTCATGATACGGCCTTCGCCGTGTGTGTGTGTCTTCACAGGGCACTTTCCTCTTAGAGAGACACGAGTTATGAGGGGTTGGGGCCCACCCTAATGATCTCTTCTTAACTCCATTGCATCTGCAAAGGCCCTATTCCCAAATAAAGTCACATTCACAGGTTCTGAGGATTAGGACTCCAATGTGCCTTTTTGGGGTGAGCGGAGGGAAGGAAATATAATTTAACTCCTAACAAATGTATAAGTAACATTTTAAAGAAGTGTTAGAAACTTAACCTTTGTAGGCAATACAGAGGGAAAGAATCTCTTTGGCAAGACTGGTGGATGACTTGCTATTGAGATTCTCAGGTTAGAGGGGAAATGAGAACTTTGGCTGGCATGCCCACTTTGAGAACCACTGAAACCCAAGAGGGTAAAGAAATAGGCCAAGTATAATAAAGAGATTATTACACAGCACCTGTAATAACGTAAAATCACTAAATATTTATAATAATACAAAGAACCCTAATCTTCCCTCCCTGTGCCCCAATACTCTTCAGTGCCTTCTCTCCCCACTCACATCTTCCCAGGCAGTGACCTGTCTTCCCTCTGGGCCTCCTGCCCTGACCCCCTCCCAGGAACTCCTCAGAGGAATTCTCCTTCCCCTGCTGTGGCTTAGAACTGTCCCAGCCACCTCACCACATGCCCATCCAACTGCGGAGGAGGAAAGGAGGAGATGATATCGGAATACTTGTGTTTCTGTCACATCTGGACTCAACTATAGGCAAATTTAAATAATCAAGAGGTGGCTATAGTAGTGGTGACCTTGTAAAAAATTTTTTTTAAGTGTGTCAACTTCCTACTTGGCCTCTAAGCTGTGTGTCTTTCACCACCCTGCAGCCATAAAGTATCCACAGCTCTTCCTTACTCATTTCCTGTGCTTAGTAACTCAGTACATGCAACAGAGCGTGTCTCCACAATGAACACTGTGCACCTGATTGCCCTGTTCCTCCTGGACTTTGAGCGTCAACAGTGGAGGATAGGAGAGGAAGGGAGGGTGAGAGACGTCACTGATCAAGGGTTCTAGGAGGGTCAGTGATGCAGAGGTTGGTTCACAGAGGTGGGGCAGGGAGGGCTTGGCCCTGAGAGGTCTAAGGCTGGGGAAAGGAGAAAGTGAACTATAGAACGCAAATTAGAAACCAAAGAAAAATCATAATGACGGGCCAAAGCGTTAGTTGTAATTTATATCTTCTTGTCTTCTCCCCCATTCCACAGTCAGTTCCTGGAGGAGAGTTTTGTCTTGTTTACCCTGTATTCCCAGCCCTCATCCCTCTGCCTGGCACACAGATACTCCAGTCTCTCTGACCATCTTTCATTTCTTCTTTTTTGCAAAGCTCTTTCCTACTACTGAGCCTTAGCCCAAACTAAGAATATCTGATCTGAACGCTTTTCTCTTCTCAAATGATGGGCTCCTCTTCATGCTCTGGGTCACAGCTTCAATGGGAGCTTCTTGCAGAGCACACAAACTGAAAAAAATTACATGCACACACACACTAGCCTTTATCACTGCATCCTATTTATTGTCTCCACAGCCCTACTACAACCTGCAATGGTTTCTTTCCTATGTAGCTTCCCCACTTGACTGCACATTCTAGGAAGAAAAAATTCATGTTCATCTTGTCCACTCTTGTAGCCCCAGCAATCAGCACATCCAAAGCTTTCAATGAATAAAGATTAAAGAATAAAAGAATGAATATATATACTCCGAATTTTAATACTGTATTACATGGGAATTTTGGCATAGACTAAAAATGGCATCGTAGACCAGAAAAGGAAAGATGAATTATTTATTAACTACCTAGAATCGATTGAATAACCAAAATGAAAGCTGATTCTGTTCCTTCCTTACTCTATATCAAAATCAATTCCAAATGGATCATATATGTAAGCCTTTAAAAATGAAGTAATTAAAAGAACACAAAGCAAATGTAGAAGAAGTTTAAATCATCTTAATGCAGAAATTTTTCTGAGCAAGCCAAAGAAGAAAAGATTGATATATTTAAATATGTAAACACCAACACTTTCTTCACACTCAAAACGTACTCAGAGACCAAAGACCAACAACAAATTGGGGGAAAATGATTGTTACACTTGACAAAAGTGCAGATCTTATTATAAACCAAAAATTGCTACAAGTAAATAATGGAAAGACTAATAACTCAAAATAAAAACAGAGGACATAAGTAGACCACAGAAAAACTCATACGAAGGGCTTTTAAGAAATGAGATATATAGTTTTAAGAATATCAAAGGAATGTACACTAAATAGTGAGATAACGACTTTTCATCTCTGAATTGGCGTAAGTGAAAAACTGTGAATAATGTTTAGCATTGGCCAGGATGTGGGGCAGTGAGCACAGGCATACTATTGTGGGGAGGGGCATGCATTTGTCTTTTCAAAGTCTGCCTCATCCGTCCGCTGGCCTTTGAAAGTGGTTCAGCATTTTTTATATCTATGTGAAGAACAGCTTGGCAACATTTATGGTAACTTTAAATGCAGATACTCTTCTGCTAGCAATTGCGATCTAAGATTTTATTCTACAGATAAACATGGACTCAGAGGCAAAGACTCATGCAGAAGACCAAAACAACTGAAACGACCGTGAATATTCTGTGGACTGATGAAATAAGGTTTGGTTCACACCCATAATAAACTACCATACTGGGGGGAAAATATGCCAATGACCTGTATCTTTTTAGTATATGAAGCATGCAAGGTATGGACCAGAATGTATTATACAAACTCATTGGTTGAATAGGGGGAAAAAGCAGCCCAGAGGTGGATAGACAGACAATCAGATAGACAGATACACATGGCTGTGTATATATACCATTTCTGGAAGGATTCACAAGAAACTGCTGGGGGAAGGGCTGGAGGTCAGCAGGCTTACTTTTCATGATACCTTTTCATATTATTAAAAAAATTTTTTTTGCTAACTGCACATATTACTTTTTAATTTAAAAACTAGTTGAGTTATAAAATGACGTTACCATAACTCAATGTAGCCCTCAAAAAGATTTTCTGTACTAATAATAGTAATATTAGTAAAATAGAAAGATTGTTCAGTCTTGTTTGGTTAAGGTAGGACATTTTAAATGAACACACAAATTAATAAAATAACTTTTTCAATAATCCAGAAGTGAGATCAGTTTAGCCCTTTAGTTGTGAATAAGTTATTCAACTTAAAAAGCCTATACTTGATTGATAAACACATATTTTATTTTAAAAAGATGGCATGCCAAGGCAGAGTGGACAGGTTAAGCTCATTTGCAGCTATGGCCACGCCTTCCCCATCCCCAATAATGTATTCAAATTCAGTGCCAAAAGTTACTTATTAAACTCAAGAGATATTAGGTCCTGGGAAAACCATTATAAACTTGGCCTTCAAGAGAGCTGATCTTTTAACAACTATCTCAGAAAGACGAAAATGGGCAATCATCACGTAAGTATTTATTGCCTTTGGGAATCGAACAAAGTTTTCATTTTGGTTATAGCATGTGTAGAAAGTTAAACTATTAAATTATGATTGATACTTCTATACTTTATTATTATGATTAACCCTTATTACTGGTTTTAACAATAGCATACCATACTTTTAAATGCATTTGAAATGTACTTTTCTCCATTAGTCAAAAATCTCTTAGGAGGGAGATTAAGATTATGATTAAGATTCTTTTAGAGAAGTGTTTACAACAAGGTAATAAACAGGGCCTTGCAGAGAGCAAAACGGTTAATATGTATTTGTTACCTAGTGGGTAGCAAAGTTGCACAGAAGTTTCTAGACCACCTCCATCAGAATTTTGCAGCGAAGACAGGTTCTGTTACAAATGTCAATAGATCAAGGTAAAATTATGCTCCAAAAAGGCCATGTTTCTTGGATTGAAAGGTGAAAATATTCTAGTTTGATTTCTAAACAGCATCAAACAACCAGATACTTGCAAATATCCATGAAATGGGCTCAACGTTTTACTTTTCTTCCGAAATGCCTAGGCTCATGTGAATAACACATCTAAACCATTAATAACTAAAAACTGCCTAAAATGCTGCCATTTAGAACCAGCTATGCACAAGGCAGGTCAGAGTAAGATCTTAACAAATGAATAGCTAAAGCTGTTGCAATAAGAATTTTAACAAGGTTTTGTGGCACCTGTTATAGCTTCCCACAGCAAGAATGATTTATTGTGTGTACACCAGGAGCAAAGAGAATAAAGCTTCCAAATTTTCTGTAAACTCTAACTTTGCTAATACGGGTTTTTTTCCTTTGCTATAAATTAAACTTGCACTAAAAGATGGTTGCGAACTTACAAATACCTTCTTCCGAGAGGCATTATTTTCTTAAATCATCTATAAACAACATTACATACTAGCCAAGGTTATGAGCCTTGCAGTCAGTATATCTTTCAGAGAAACTGGAACCTACTCTTAAAATGCTTGTGACAAGAGGACCTTAGGAGCCATGTCTTGTCCCTGCATTGGCAATTTAGGAGGACATTTCATCCTTTGAAAGGCAACCCCCTGGGGCAGCTGGCTTTTGAGAGCTGTCTAGCATTTTTATATATTTCTCTTTTGAATCCTCAGAGCCACTCGTACTCCCTCTCGAAAGGCAGTCAACAGGTGCCCAAAGGGGACGCCTCACCCTCGAGAGCCGTGCGCCCCCTCAGCCACCCATCAGGGAGCGGACAGCCAGAGGCCCATCAGCCTGTAAGCACTTCTTTTTCCCTCCATGTCATAGGTGGGACTGGGTTTTCTTATGGGCCCAGTATCACTCACCACAGACTTGTCATATTGGACACAGTCCTCCAGTCTGACAATGTCATCATCAGGTATTAAAAAAATTTCCATCAGAAAATGTTTGCTATAATATTTACAGCTAATGTAAAAATGTAACTTAAGAACTGAGCTTACATTTCCAACACTGTCCCCTTAACAGTGCCTAAAACAGGACAGCATGAGGCTATGAATAGCCATGGTGACATTTTTGAAAATGCTAATAGAATTTAACATGTGCCCAAGGAATGAATATGTTCTAAGACCGTGTTTCTAAATAAGCAAATGTAAGACCTTTTCACAGGACAAAAAAAGTTGTCCCAGTAATGACTTATATGACTTGCATTAGAAAATAACTTGAATATGTCTAAACTTAAAACAATGCTTGTAGTTCTGAAGCAACTATACCACCAAAACAAGTTTAAAAAATTAAATAGAAAGGAAAAAAATTACATACTAGCAAAACGCAAGTCGATGATGTACAAATGTATGTTATTGCTTTAGTATCATAGACAGCATTATTGTGCTGGATTAAATGGTTGCGCTCAATGGAAAAACTGTTCAGATGGGTAGGACGTGGTTTCTTTGGACTTACATCTTGTCTAAAATGTGGTGTGGTGTGTGACTTCTTAGTTCTCCTATCACGTTTCTCTATTCAAACTACTGAGAAGCTTTTGTCCATAAGACTCCTGTAATATAGTTGGGCCTTCTCTTGGCTAAAATGAGTGATTTTTACATCAAACTGCCCTTTGTTTTCGCGCTTTTATTATGAGCCTGCAACAATAAAGTGTGGCTATTTGGCATCTACACAGTCATAAGTAGACACACAAATGCAGACATTGAAATTGTGAGCCCTAGTCCTGAGTGGTCATCCTGAGGAGATGATGTGCTTTATATTAGTTTTGAAGTTATCAGCATTAACGACACTAATTTAAACAACCTACCAGGAAAGTTTTGAGTCCCCAAGAACGTGTCCGCAGATCAGGGTTCATGCATAACTGACGAACATTGCGCTAAAGCCATTAGTGTCTTGGCCAGGAGATGACAGTTTCCAAGGCACTATAATGGGGAATCCTAACCAATTCTGAAAACTGAAAATTACTTTTTTTTGCTTTATGTGTTTCCCCAATCCTTTTATCATCATTAACAATTTTTTTAAACTAAAGACCTCTTGTTTGTGACTACCTTATTTGATTGGTCCACATTGTTGCCTGGGCGCATGCTAGAAATGCAGGATCTCAGGCCCACGCAGACATGATGAATCAGAATCGGCATTTTAAACAAGGTCCTCAAGTGATTCTTATGCACGTTCAGGTCTAAGAAGTGCTGAGCTGGAGAACAAGTTCGCAAACTCGGATGCACGCTGGGGAGTTCTAGCAACCCCTGGTGCCTGAGCCCCACCCCCAGAAAGTCTGAATGAGCTGGCTCGGGGGTTGGCCTGGGCACTGGGATTTGTAAATGCTCCCCAGGCGATGCTCGTGGGCAGCAGAGTTTGAGAAGTGCTGACCTGGAGCATACCTCTGTCTCTACACGAACAGATCAGCACACTGCCCGCGAGGCAGGCGCCATTACGACTGCCCGTAGATGAAAACCCCCTGTAAGTGTGAGGACACCTGCTCTGCAGCCTGCTGTGGTGTTTGTAAACATGCGACGTTTATGACTTCCTTGTGCCAATATTTAGCCAACATAAATATTATCTAAAAGGGAGAAGAGTAGCAGGTGAATAGCAGGCCAGCTCAGATGAGGGTGGTTAGGAACACCTGGGAGCCATGTGACAAGAGGGGAATAGGCCCAGATTCCCAAGAAAAGAAGAGAGGCTCTGAAGGCAGGTAAAAATGTGACTGGGAATATGGGATAAAAGTGAGTTTGGCTTTAACCAACAGTGTGCATTAAAATGTGATCCAAAAGCCAAAGCAGCATCGTGAACCCCAAGCAGAAACCAGCCTAGACCAGGCGGTCATACCTCTTCTCTCAGGAAATGTTTTATACCAGAACGCTAGTCCTTCTGATTGCCACCGTGAGTCAGAGAGACCTTCGGACATCAAACAGGGCATGCACTAAAGCTCAACTTCTTTATTTAAATGCAGATTTCCCCTTCAAAGTCAAGCTGTATTGGAGACACAATTTCACAGTCTTGGCTTTGGGGTTTCTTGTCTATGGTAGATAAAATGCAGTCATTTAAAGAGGTGGGGGAAAGGCTTCAAGGACAAGTACACACACAGAAGGAAGAACATGCCAACTGAGAACCTGACACAAGAGGTCTCAAGCCATAGGAGCCTGGGCTTCTTAGTGGAGGGGGTGGAGTTGAGGCACCCTAGGGCACACTGGCCGGTCTGCTGCACCGCACAGCAACAGGAGCCCCAACGCCCAGGGACGAGGGGCACAACTGGGGTTTAAAAGGGCCTTCCGAAATGACATGATGATAATAACAGAAATCTGTCAAGTGCTTACTAGACTGTGAGCTGTTCTGAGAGCATTGGCTCTAGTCCTTGATATGTGAGCCCTTCATGTACTGAAACAAAATCTGGGGTAGGACCCAGAAACCCAGGTGCACAAGCCCTCCAGGTGATTCTGCTGGTCACTCAAGTATGAGAAGCAACGTGGAAGAAAAAGGCTCTCACAGGTCCAGGCTAGAGCTGTGCCCCAGCCTTGACAGTGAACCACTCACACAATTCAGCCTACAGAGATGCCTGGATGATGGCATTTAAAACCTATTTAGCCCCTGGCCTCTCACACCAAATGCAACCCGTTCTGTTCCATCCTCCATCCCACCCCAGACTGCCCTCCCTCCCACCTCACCCTAGAGTGGAGGAGAGGCAGTGAGAGGGGTCCCTCTGCCAGCATAGAGGAAGGAAACTACTCTCCACTTTTTCGGTCAATTCTACATATTCTTTTAGAGAAACTATTCTGAGCCAGGGACTGGTTGAGGCTCTGGAGGTAAACAGATGAATAAGAAAAGCCCACAGCCCATGCCATGAAAATGGCTCATGATCTAGAAAGGGAGGCAAACAAATAAAGAATTAAAATGATGTGTGATGGATGCACTAATAGAAATGTGTCCATGATAACAAAGTTTGGAAGTTAGACGGTGGAGGGAGCGATTCTGTGCAGGAGAAATGATGGGACCACACTTTCAGAACCACTGCCTGGGGCAACTGGGAAGCCTCAGTGGATCTCAGACAAGGGAATGACACAGGGTCAGAGCTACACTTTGGATGGGCCATGCTGGAAGCTGGCGGAGAAAGGTCTAGAGGGAAACACAACCAAAAGCAAGTAAAGCACTTGGGAAGCAGTGGTCCTAGAGAAAGATGATGAGCCTCTGTCCACAACTGAAACAATGACAACGGAATTGGAGAAGAAGACAGACTGAAGGGTCAAGTCAACATAACTTGCTGACTGATTGGATATGGGAGATGAGGGACAAGGAAGACTAGAGTGATTCCCAGGTGCCTGGTTTGTGCACCCAGGTGGATGGTGGTACATCCCAGGGATAAAGCAGAGTAGAGACCTGTAAGTTTAGAGGATGAGTTTGGTTTAGGGATCTTCTGAGTTTGAGGGATCTGTGGAATAGCTGGGTATAAAGCCTCGCTGGTAGCTGGATCTAAAACTCAAGAGGGAGACTTCTGGTCAACATGGAGATGTAGGTAAACATGTTGTGTCTCTTTGCACAAGCACAGAAAGACTAAAAACTGGACCTCAAAACAAATAACACCCAGAATTGTCAGAAAATTGAGCTGTATGGAAGTCCAACAACCAAGGATTTAAAGAAGTCACATTCATATAGATGGGTAGGAGGGGCAGAGATGTGGAGACAGGCAGAGAGGCGAGATGCAGTGTGGCACGGAGAGGTGGCAGTGGCAGAACAACTGTCCCACAGTCACATGTGGATAAAAATCAGGATGGACACCTTGGGAGCAAGTGATCCCAATCCTAGGCCAGACTGCACAGCCCAGAGTTTCAGCACCAGAAAGATAAATCCCCATAACTTCTGAATGTAAAAAACAGTGGGGGTGCAGGCAGCAGAGGAAACTGCCAGATTTTCAGGAGACTCTGCTTAAAGGGCCTACATGGACTTAGAACATATGCAAACCCACCGCCTCTGGGATTCAGCGCCTGGGCAAGAGCTGGAAGGTCACCAGTTGCAAATAGGGAATAAAAGAAGTGACTGGAAACAGGGTGCATGCTGGGTAAACCTCCAGAAGCCAGGCAGTGGCACTGACCTCTCTCTGAGCCTTCCCCCGAGGTAGCGCCACAAAGCAGTTAAATGGGTTGTCCCACCCTGGCTATTACCAAAGGCTCCACCCCACACCATTTGTAGGTGCCTTTTCTACAATAGGCTATGCTACTAAGACAGAGAGTCAAAGCAGCTCTACATGATACACAGAAACAAACATGGGGAGGCTGTCAAATTGAGAAGACAAAGAAATATGGCCCAAATGAAAGACTAGAACAAAACCCCAGAAAAAAAGAACTAAACAAAATGGAGATAAACAAACTATCAGATGCAGAATTCAAAACACCAGTGCTCAGGATGCTCAAACAACTCACTGAGTACGGTGACAACATGAAAAAGACCCAGGAAGAAATGAAGGTTACACTAAGTGAAACAAAGAAGGATGTACAGGGAACCAACAGAGGAGGTGATGAAGCCAGGATTCAAATCAATGATTTGGAACATAAGGAAAAAATAAGCACTCAATCAGAATAGCAAGATGAAAAAAGAATAAAAAAAAAAAACGGGGATAATATAAGGAGCCTCTGGGACATCTTCAAATGTACCAACATCCAAATCATAGGGATGCCAGAAGGAGAAGAGGAAGAGCAAGAAATTGAAAACTTATTTGAAAAAATGAAGGAAAACTTCCCTAATTTGGTCAAGGAAATAGGCATACAAGTCCAGGAAGAACATAGAGTCCCAAACAAGTTGGACCCAA